GACATCAGTTTCTCAGTTGGAGGCATACCCTAGAACCCAGTGCAAAGGAGTCAGATGCCTGAATAATTCTTGAGTTAGAAATGGACATATAAGAATTTTACCCATATGAAAAGTGGAAACAGATTGCTATTTGCTTGACTTTCCCAGCGATTTTTAATCTTTAGGATTATCTGTGTAAACTAGTGATTATGAGATGCAGGCCTCTGGTGGTTCTTGATTATGTCCATGAAATAATGACTTCTTTAAAGGAAAAAACCCTAAAGTAATTATTGAACGATGAAAATAAATTCATTTAATTCAGTACTCAGAGCGTGAAAACCACAGTGATCCTAAAGCAACGTGTGTGCATCCATAGGCTCTTTTATGTGGAAAACTATAGAAAATTTCAGACATATTAAGAAAGCGTGGCACCCCACTGCTCGCCCATGAATTCGATCTTAAAGCTAAAGATGGTGAGATGTAGAGAGGTTCGAAGTAGATACTAGTTGAAGATGAGACTAAGAATTGGGCCAAATGCTCTGGTTTTTGGGCCCACACATTTAATCCTCAACTGTGTCTGTAGCCAGCGAATACAAAGTTACTAGTGATTGCCAGCGAATACAAAGTTACTAGTGATTGCAATTCTCCTTCCTTGTCCCAGTGGTCTCATCTGGCTGAGAACAGTAAGGTTCGTGCTGTCAAATCCTCCGATGTCCTCTCAAACACTGGCATCGGAGAAGGGTTGCTCCTACGGTAGAGTACTGGGGATGTTTCATGTCAGCTTTGCCGGAGTGTGCTGTATTCTGCTGGATTGTTGCAGCCCCTTCGTTCTCTCATGCCCCATCTGTAGCATGAAAAGTATTAGCAATAGCACTTGCTGCTTGCTAAGAAAATAGCAGCTACCAGGGGTTGTGCCCTGAAGCCAGTTGAGACTGTGGAGCCAACCTCTAACGTTCCTCCAAAGTCCTAGGTTTATTTAGTGGATGTTCATAGACATATGCCCAGACTTACAGAAATAGTCCTTGTGGCAGGGAATTGTTTTATAATTAGCTCTGGGGTGAGTAGGAGGTCTCATATGTGTGAATACAAATTGGGGGGATCAAATAAAAATGTGTAACTCCTGCTATGGCTTAAAGAGTTTATATTCTGTACCCATAAAGTCTCACCATCGTAACTGCTTAAACATGAGCTGAACAAGGACAATAGCAGTCGACATTTACAGCAGACAACCTAGTGTGGCTAGAGAAAAGCCCACGGCCTCAACCCTGCACAGAAAACTATAGTCAACTAAAGAATGCTGAGTGGGAGAAATGGTCTTCCCCGGGAAAGACCTATCCAATACCAAATAGTTCACCCTGGAATATACTTACAAGTAACATTATTATATGGACTACGCAGGTTATATTTATGTATGTAGTCACATATGTATATACCTATATGTATGTAACAAGAATTAATGAAAAAGAGACTGAATTTGAAAGAGATCAGGGAGGGATATATGAGAGGGCTTGTAGGGAATAAAGAGTAAGGAGACATTATATAATTATATTTTAATCTTAAAAGTAAAAAATAATTTTAAAAAGAATTCATACTCTATTAATGTCACTTCGTTTTACAGCCTAAATGTAGGTATGACCTAAGTACTATTACTAAATCGTTTCAAAAATTAATCTTAGATTAACAAGTTAATGGTAAAATAATCATAAGATGAACTCCTAAACTTAATATATGGAGATATTTCTGATAGAAAGCATAGCATAGATTTTGGAAATGAGGACAAGGCGTTAACTTTTCCCACCTGAGATGTCCTTAGACATGGATCAGGCAGGAGCCTGTGTGTTCGGCATCCTCTAAAGAGAAGTTGGTGTTATTAGGGTTTAAGGTCTTTCTTTCTCCTTCTTGGAAGGGCTGTCAGTCCAGTGGAAAGTAGGGCTACATTTTAGTATTCCCTTCCCTCCGTGATAATTACCCACGGCACTGCTGAAACAGCAAAACAGCATTCCAGGGTTCCCGAGAAGTGCCCTGACGGATGCTTGGACTTTGACAGGTCTTCCTTGATGACACCAGCACGGTACTCTTGGAAAACTACGGGTTGTCCTTTAAGGTGGAGCACAGGGCAGCACAGCACCTGCTTCACAGCTCTCCCTCAGCAGGCCCTCCTGCAGGAGCATCCCACAAGAAGCCCACACAGGGCTCCAAGTCACGGTTACTGTGCCCCAGCATCCTCTCCAGGCTTCATACTTGTGTTCTGTGCTCTGATCACTTCTTCAACACTGTGAAAAGCATGGCAAATACTTTCCCTGGTGGCTTTCCGAACAATAAGATGGTGTCAAGGACCTCTGCTGACACATGGATTAAGTTAACCTGTTGGTTTCATATGCCAGTCACTTGTCCAAAGACTGTGTTTTGGCTAGCTTCTCATTGTAATGGACTCCCTTGGTTCCAGCTCCCCTGAACATCACCAGATCTGCCTTTACGCTACATCAGATATGATTGTTCCTTGTTTATAAATTATAAGTACAATCTACACTTCCCTGCTCTGCTTGGAGAACTAGACTGTGGGCCCCTGCTGAGGTCAGGATATCCTAACCGGCACTGTTAATATGAGATATTATGTCTTAGAGTATATCTGATAGAAATATATCTGATAGGACTATGTTAACTCTTATGGGAGCCCTTACCCATGAGGAGGAGTAGGATGGGGGTGGACTAGGGGGAGGTGATGGGGGGGATGGAAGGAGGGGATGGGGGATGGGAGGAGGAGTGGGAGGGAGAACTGTGGTTGGAATATAAAATAAAATCAAAAATGGGGAAAAAAGAAATATATCTGATAGAAAAGTCTGAGCTTGTGTATGTGTGTGTGTGTGTGTGTGTGTGTGTGTGTGTGTGTGTGTGTGTTGGCAAGACATAGGTAGTTTTATAGAAGGAAAAAGGAAGAATTATGCCTTGAGGGAAAAAGGAATATACTGTAAGTTATTGACCATTTACTGTGATGCTGCTCAACCTAGGAACCAGCTGCCACTTATCTGTCTTCAGCCTTGTCGTCCCGTAGCGTCATCAGTGTCTACCTGAGGCTTTAAATCCTGGGTAGGGGTGGGGGAGGGGATTTTACTCATGAGAGCAAAGCAGGTGTCAATATTACTATCATACCCACTCCTGTGTACATCGAAAACATACAAACACCTGAAATCAGATCCTCATATCTTTTTATTAACCATGTGTGTTTTGGAGACAAAGTCTCACTGTGTAGCTCTGGCTGGCCTGGAACTAACTGTGTACGTCAGTCTGGCTTCAAATTCACATAGATTCCTCCTACTGCTTCCCAGATGCAGAGTACAGGAAGCGCTGTCATACCTGACTGCTTTTACCATTATAAATATGATCTTAACTGAGTTGCACATTTCTCTCATTTTACAAATCACGTATAGCCCTTTTATTTTGCTTCTGTTTTTTCAGGACAGAGTTTCTCTGTGGAGCCCTGATTGTCCTGGCACTAGCTCTGTAGACCAAGCTGGCCTCAAACTCACAAAGATCCACCTGCCTCTGCCTCCCAAGTCCTGGGATCAAAGGCGTGAGCCACCACTGCCCAGCATGCGTAGCCCTTTTTAAGGACAAAATGCCTAGCACGCTATATATTATGGACCAAGACCACTGATAGGTTATAGTCCTTTAAGGTTTGGTCCCATTCAGGTCCCACCAAAGTTGAGGTCTGTGCCTCTAACAGCATTTCGGTTTGCTTCCTTGGCCGGTATCTCCCAGTTTGGAGTGAAAGGGTTTAAAGCCCTGCTTCCTCCCTTCAGTTTCGTTTTTGCCCAGGCTATCTAGGAACTCACTATATAGTCCAGGCTAATCTTGAACTCCAAGGAACACTCAGCTTCCCCACTTTTATGATGTCCTAGTAAGGCCACAGATGAGGCTCATCATGAGAAACTGCAGAGCTGACTGACCTGCCTGTCATACCCAGGTCCCCATGCAGGAGGTTGTAGCTGCAGGGCTTGGGGACTGTTTCCTGTGGGTGTTTTTAATCCCCCTGTGATCTTCTATTGTCCCCTCTCCTTAGAGCCACTCACTCTCACTTCAAGCATATATTCCCTGGATCACAAGCTAGTTAGCTCATATCTGCTTCTCTGATCTCTCATGTACAGACAGGGACACTAATAATGTCCAGTAATGACACAAAGCCATTGCGGAGACTGACCTTTCTCGCAGGTCCTTGCAGCAATGGCAGAGAAGGGGGGGTGAAACAATTTTAAAGATGGTCACCAGACTACCCCGTGACTCTAAGGTACTCAAGGAAAGAGGAGAAACAGGGCTTTTCCGGTAGAACAGGGTTTACACTTTCTGTTCCGTGGCAGAACTGGAGTGAGGTGCAGGAACCTGTATCCAAAGGAACAGAGTGGGAGGTACTGCTGAAAATACCTCAGCAAAGCTTGGCAGCAAGCCTGGGTCCCTAGTAGGTGTAGTAATATGTGGGGCGGGGTTTATAGCACTGCTTGTGGACTCTTCATAGAATTTTAAAGGAGACTCGAGGGATAAACTGGGGCTATATGGTTATGGGTGGCAATGGGGCAAAGTCTGTACCAAGAGCTAACTATTATCCTCTGTATGTGGCAGGGCTAATTCAGAATGATTGGGCTTTTATAGTATACGCTTTTTAGATCCCATATGCTTGGATGCTCTTCTCAGCTTCTCCCCGGGGAATGACCCTGACCGTCAGCTTTGTTAAAGAAAGGAGGCACCACCCTCAGGTGGCATGCGCGTGGCGTGTCCCAGTGGCCTCGCAGCATGGTCTTGTAGAAGCCTGAGGGTCAAAAGGTGCACCATGCCTGCGGCTTATGCCCTGCCTCACTGCGCACCTTGGCGCCTGGGCGGCCCTGATGTTCTCAGCAACAGGCTTTGTCTATGACTGCCCTTTGCCCTGGCTGTCTTGGCCAGAGGTGGCTATGCGGTAATTTGTTCCTAGGTTCCGAGGCACAACCCTATCAAGCTGCAGCTGTGTGTGTTTATCTTGTAATTCACAGACAAGAAGAAGGGAGGCAGATTCCAGCCTTTTAAGAAGTTGTTTGGCAAAAAGAAAAAGAAGAGCTCCCCGCTGTCTGAGGAGTCAGCCGGGAGGCAGAGGCAGACCCACACTCCCTGGAGTGCAGGCAATGGGACCTTCTCTTCGGATGAGGAGACCCAGGAGAACAGTCTGAGGTAATAACTTGCCCTTTCCTTGTATGCCTCTGGCAGAGTCCGGGGTGAGGAAAGAGCTCCCTGGAGGATCTGTGTGAGCTTGGGATTTGGAGAGCAGGGGCAACATTTTAAAGGTGTGCCACCTGAGCATGAGGGTGGCACCTGGTGTGCTGGGTGGAGAAATCACCGTGACAGGGATTGAGCCTGCGTTTCTCTGCCCTCTCTGGTGGTGGAGGGCATCACTTCACTGGCTGAGCTCAACAAGGGTCCTGGGACTGAGAGAAAAGGTATCCATAGTCTAGACCTTACGCGTGAGGCAAGGATAGAGTCCCCAGCTCAGGGAGGTCAACCTTCGTGGACGCGCCACAGGACACCTCCAGCTGCTTGGGGGATGCGTTCTTCGCAAAACTCCTTGCTTTTCCTCTCCTCCTCTTCTCCCTCCTTTATCCCTTTCCCTTCGGCTTCCCCCTCCTCCCTACCTGTCTCCCCACATCTTTCTCCCTCTTATAGGCACTAAATCTGATCAAGGACCTCAAAATCAGAGCATGGAGAGTTGGGGTGGGGCCTTTGTCCCCTCAGTGCTGGGACACGAGGCGGGAGTTAGAGATGACTAAACTCCGGGACTACTCTTAGAAAGCATCCCTTGGAGACATCACGCCAGCCCTGCAGTCTGAAGCCTTGCTGTGCTCTTTAGTCTCTCTAGCCTGACTCAACAGAGGACGTGTTACTTTCTATGGAAATGGTTGATTTGCTTGTTTCTGGCAACCGGCTGGCTCAAGAACTCAGACACCAGGTTTTCTTCAGCCTCCCATGGAGTGCTGGCACCCAACTTACCTAACAGGCGCCAAAGACAAAAAGGCTCTCCAGAGTGTGTGGCAATAAGGAAATTCTGGTTTTTACCACGTAAGAAAATGGTCAACTTTAATTGTAGCTCTTGAGAATGATAAACCTCTGCAAAAGGAAAGGCCTTGGCTGGAAGGCAAGCATAGCAAGCAGTAAGGGACGCTGTGGTCACTGCCATAAAGCTGGCTGTGGTCAGTGGGGGAGCGATCCCAGTTTCACTTCGGTTTCTCATGCTGTAAAACATGAATGTGGATCTTTTCCACCTCGTAGCAGAATGAAGCACTAAAGCTGTACTGAGACTCGGTGAAGTCCAGTCCACAGACTCCCTCTTTGGACTGAGGGTCCTCTGAAAGCACACTTAATTTTTGCAGTAGGTTGTGACCTTGTCGGTCCCCTATGTCCTGTTGAATTGCTTTGGACTGCTACACATTCTCTTCCTGCTCATTTAGCTTCTGTATTCCATTTACCTCTTGAGGGTTTCCCTGAAGGCTTTAAGAAATCTTAGGAAATTAATTGTACATTGGGTCAAGCAACTCCATTACTGTATAGGTAATGTTATCTGTTCTAATTTTTTACTTTTGTTCAGAGACACCTCCCTTTTTGTATGGGACATATTTTTTTGTTTGGTTTGGTTTGGTTTTTCAAGACGGGGTTTCTCTGTGTAGCCCTGACTCTCCTGGAACTTGCTGTGTCGACCAGGCTGACCTCAAAGATTCACCTGCCTCTGCCTCCTGAGTGCTGAGATTGAAGGAGTGCACCACCACCACCACAGTATGAAACATATTTTAATTACATATTTGTTTATATAAATAAAAATACTTGTCTCATAAGTAAAAAAGCTAAGAGTATGTTTGGACTATGGAGTCTTAGTATCTGTCTTTAAATTAAAATTGTAATATAAAGGGGCTAGAGAGATGACTCTTCCAGAGGTTCTGAGTTCAATTCCCAGAACCACATGGTAGCTCACAACCTTCCATAGTGGGATCTGATGCCCTCTTCTGGCATAAAGGTGTACATGCAGATAGAGCACTCGATATACATAAATAAATCTTCAAAATGAAACTGGTGTGATAGTGAGTTCCAAGCCAGCCAAAGCTGCATAGCGAGACCTGTCTTGAAACATCAAGAATTTCCATCTTCTTCCAGGAGACATTACATGAATGCCTTACAGTGTGGCTGGAGTTCTGCTCCTTTGCCCTATTTACAGATAGAAAGGAATGAAAAAAAAGGCTTCCTAAAATTATTTTCAGTTTAGTGCTCAGTTGACAGACACACTACTGCACACTGCATAAAGATTTACAAATGTGCCAGGTGGTGGTGGTGGTGGCGCACGCCTTTAGTCTCAGCACTTGGGAGACAGAGGCAGGTGGATTTCTGTGAGTTCAGGGCCAGCCTGGTCTACAGAGTGCCAGAACAGCCAAGGCTATGCAGAGAAACCCTGCCTTGGGAAAAGAAAAGGAAGACTTCAGAAATATTTAGAAATTAATCTGAAGGAGTCTTTTCTTTCCATTCCAAAACAGAAAGTGCTCATGGACACACAAAACTCCAAGTCCCGGGGACATAATCAGTTATATGTTTAAAGGGGCCAAGTTCAGTCCAGTGAAATTGGTCCAGTGTTGAGGGAGAGTTTCCTGAATACGAGGGTTACCCTGAAAGCCTGAAAGACTAAACCTGTATCCAGGGGGGTGGGATTTAATTACTAAAATTGCCGAACTTTAGCAGGTTGGACTCCAAGAGTCTGTACTTCTAGAAATGTCTCTGTGGCTAAGAATAGTGCACTGATCTGTCCGCGCCCCCCCCCCCCACCTAAAGTCGGCCGTTCCTTGGGACTTCCAGGGCACTCTGCTCTTTCTGTAGCTCAGGGCTTCAAGGCTCCTTGGCTGCTGATTTTAAATTATATATGCCTCTGGGAAAGTGAAGCTTAAGGCGTGATGGTTTTTAACAATTTAATAGCATTTCCTTTGTTAATTAAATACAATTGATACTGCATTTCCAAAAGTCAGTTAAATAAACCTTCCGTGTCAGCATTTGAAAGGCCGAGGCAATGGGAATGCTGTGAGTTCAAGGCTAGCCTGAGCTACATTGTGAGTACCAGACCAACCAGGGCTAGAGAGCAGCAGCGCCCTGCCACAGGAACGCCAATAACAGAAAGTGGAAGAGATGAGTGTTACATGTAAAAAAGGGGAAGAGCCCTCCTGGTAAATGTGTCTGGTACACACATACGTTAGGAATTTTACCTAGGGCTTTTACTGTGTTATGTACCATGTGAGTTTCTAAGAAGGAGGATGTCATGTAGCAGGGTTCCGTTGATCACAGATTCTTTTTTTCCATAGAGAATAAACATCCAGTGGCATCTATTAAAGTGACCACTCACTAATAGCCTTCATGTGTTTTGCACAGATGAACTCATGTCATACCACAACTCTCTAAGATTCTTCTTATCTCAGGTTTACAGATGAGAAAGCTAAGGCTTGGGTGGTATCACACGCTCACAGCACTGCTAAACCCCTGAGCAGCTGCCAGTGGTAGACAGTGTGTTCTTGAATGCAGTCAGGGAGACTGCAGTGTTGCACAGCCGGTGTCCTCCTGGCCTTGGGTCTCTGAGCTCAGTTGCCAGCCTGCTTCCTGCTGCTGAAGGAGACTCCGGGGCTCCACTTTCTCTGCTGCAGCAGTTACTTCCTCCTGGACCCTCGATGTCTGTGCTTGCATATCCAATGGCAGCACTTACCGGTGCCGGCTCTAACCTAACGGGTCTCCAGAAGCAGTGAACTCAGGCCAGAATCTGAATGGTCAAGAAAGAGTCCAGGAACGAGGGGGCCTGAGACGGCTCCTAACAGCAGGCAGGGCGGGGAAGAGCTGAGGGACATGTCCCGGTCAAGGTAAACGCCATAAGCAGAAACTTCAAGGCCAGAATGGATGTGGCAAGCTGCGGATGGCGGTGCATACCGGAAATCCCAGGGTCCAAGGGGAGGAGGGCTGTGAGCGCAAGGGCAGCCTAGGCTACTTAGTGAGTGTTCTGTCAGAGAGACCTAAGGCGGGAAAGACAGAATAAGGGGGAATTTTCCATCTTTTTCTATAGGCATGTGCTAACTTTGCACCATAAACGTGTAAAGATGTCACAAGCAAGCCAACAAAACCACAGACTAGCCTTATGACTTAGGCACAAATATCTTGCTTGTTTGAAAGATTGAAGCAGGCCAGCCTGGACCATAAAGAAAGATCCTCTCCAAAAAAAAAAAGTCCCAAGGAATCCATACTCATTAAAATGTTATTAGACTTATGAGAAAAGCTCATCTAGGTTCAAGATACAGGGTTAGGGCTTCTGTGTTTCCATTGAGTTTAAGGAATGCAAAAATGCAAAATTTCCACAGAATGAAGGAAAACACATGCAAACAATAGCTCTGGTAAGGTCCTCCTATTAGGGACAGGTAAAGATCTTTTACAATTTAATAAAATGTCAAAAAAAACTTTTAAAAACTAGGCAAAGAATTAGGATAGACATTTCTTAGAAGGAAGGGAGGGAGGGAGAGAAGGAGGAAAAATGAGAAAGAGGAATTTGTTAAAAATAAGCCCTGCGGGGCTGGAGAGCTGACTCAGGGGTTAAGAGCATTCTGCTCTTCCAGAGGTCATGAGTTCAATTCCCAGCACCCACATGGTGGATCGCAACCATCTAAAACAGATCTGGTGCCCTCTTCTGGCCTGCAGGCAAACATGCAGGTAGAACTTTGTATACACAATAAATAAATAAAATCTTAAAAACAAAAGGAAAAATAAAAATAAGCCCTGCTTGTTCAATAGGGAAATATGTCACACACACACGAGCTTGTTTGTTTGTTTAAAGAATTAGCAAGGATGTGTAGTGGTTGAAACTTTTATCCCTTGATGATAAAAATGTAAATTGATAAACGATTTAGGGCAGGAGCTTGGAGAAATGATACGGTGGTTAAAAGCACTTACTGCTCTTCTAGAAGACCCGAGTTGAATTCCCAGCACCACACCGGGTATCTTATAATCACTTACAACTCTAGCTCCAGACACTCACTAGTGCTCATGTATATACATGTCCACATAGACAAGCATATACACAATTAAAAGAATAAAAATCTTTTTAAAGTCTGTCAGTGGTGGCACATGTCTTTAATCCCAACACTTGGAAGGCAGAGGTAGGTGGATCTCTG